ATATTGAAAGTTGCATGAAGTGTGGGGAATATTGGGTTGGGGTGGAGGTGCTGGCCCTCGCAGGCCACTTTTTCAAATGTAATGACCCGTCAAAACACAGACTGAGAACACTGCTGATTTCTGAAGTTTTGCTGATGGAATGGATGCCTTGCTGAGATTCCAGCATTCTGTTGTGTTTTCTAAGTTTGTCTCTGTGTGCGTGCTTGTGACGTGCGTGCCTGTCTGAGTGCTTGTTGGTATGAGTGTGTGTGTGACCCGCAAGGGTACTTGCTTGTTTGGTGGGCTCGAAGGGCCGGTTCTTACCTGTGGTCGTGGCATAAAGGGTGGCAGTAGGGGAAAACACTCGAGTAGCGGACGGAGGCAGGGGCCCCCGACACCTGGAGCAGCGGAAAAACACTCAAGTAGCAGGTAGGTCGGTACCGCACCCAGTAGCAGTAGATGTGTTGGGTACTCGAGGCCGAGCATAAGAAGACAAAGTTGGCATTTTTAGAGGCCCAGTAGCGGTAGGCTAGGTCTAGTCCGGTACCAGTCCATCCTGTCTGAGTCTAGAGCCTGTGCGGGCAATATCAGAGTCTGCAATGATCAACAAAAAAATTCCCACGAGAAATGAAAGTTGAAAAAATATTCTATAAAAAAAAATCTTTCATATTTATAAATTATCATTCCAATGTTCGTCCAATTCTAAAATTTCCAGTTTTATTTGATAAGTTCCCATCTAAATATGAGTTTTCCCTTCTAACTACATCTGTTTGTTCAAGATGGAATGAAAGTCTAGACGAGTTTATGAAATGTTTTAATTAAAATTTCATTCTACTCCAACAAATATCTTCTAATTTAGATTGGATTACCCTATTATTGACCGAAAATCCTTACTTAAAATGATTGTCCAATTAAAAAATTTCATGAACTCATCCAGACTTTCGTTCTATCTCTAGCATGCAGTCCAAATAAGAAGGAATACCCTATTCTTGGAATGAAAGTTTGCAAGTAAGATGGAAATTTTTAAAATTGGAATGACACTTTTTAAGGTGGAATGAAAATTTAAAATTTAGATTGTAATTTTACTATAGAATGATTATTTAATTCTGGGAAGTTTTTCCATTGATGTTTCCCTCTGAAAAGGAGGAGGTACCGGTTGCTTGGGAATCCGAGCGGCCTGGAAGTCACCGCCCAGGAGACAAGTAGGCTGCTATACCAAGAGGCTGAGGCAACAGCTCAGCCTCATTCTTCAGTGTGCAAGTTTGGCGACACGCTGCTGGAGCGTTGGCTGGAGTGGCGCTGGGTACTACAGCGCTGCTGGGAGGAAGAAGCCGGTTTCTTCCACCTTGGCTATGGTGGAGCTCTATCGGTAGGAGGAGGAGGGAGAAGGGGACCAAGGAGGAGAGTGGTAAGGTACTTACCAAACTATGGCAAACACCATTTTCATCACCTTGTAAGGCGCTGCATCTGGAAGGCCCCAATCGGGGTAGTGCCGCATCAAGGAAGCTCGGGGCAGAGTCAGGCATGGCGGTTGAGTGGGCAGCGGTATACCTGCTTGGTGATCACCTTGAAGTGGGGCAGCGGCATAGCTGCTTAGGGTTGTCCTTTGGACAGGAGGCTGAAGCCTCAGTAGTCCGGCATAACCTCGGCCTATATGTAGAGGAAGAGGAAGGGTGGCCATGTCTATGGTGGACCTCATGTTGAGCCTGCAGTAGAAGTGGGATTCGTACATTGATTCTGGTTCAGTTATTCAACATTATTATTGTTATTTCTTGTTTGAATAAGAGGGGAGGAGATAAGGAGAAAGGGATTGGTTGGCGGGGAAGAAGAGCCTTGACATTGGTCTATGCTGGAGTACATCATCATCTTCTCCTTTCTCACTTCTTCTTCTTCTTCTTTCCCTCTCTTTCCTCTCAAGTTCATTCATTTCTTTTTGCAATTGGATGGCATTGTACTTTCAGATAAATGTATACTTCGAAATGGGCCAGGATCGTAACATTGGTATCGGAGTGGATTCTACTTGCTGGCGATAGTTGACTTTGCTGCCATAACCCTAACCCTAGTGGTAAGGGCTAACCACTTAGGGTTCGGGCTGGAAGTTACGGTTAAGTGGGGCAGCATGGTGAAGGGAAGCTGCTCCCACCTGGGAGGGCCGTGTAGGGTCGACACTAGACCCGGCCAGGTTGTTTGAGGGCATGCTTGTGGTGGCGAGACACAAGGTGGGACTTTGTGATGCAATTTGAGAGAGGCGACAGTGAAGGGCACCTACAACTTTAATCTGGACTTTAGGGAAGACAAGGAGTGACCTTAGGGTTCCCCTCAAGTCAGGCGAGCTTGAGGGTGGCAGCCATATCTGCACCTACGGACTTCAAGTTGCCGCTTTGATCTTCAATATCGACGGGGGATCCGGCTTTGTACTTTGGGGTAGATAGTGACCCTCCTATATGATAGGACACTAGTGTAGAGGATGCATATTGGGTCAGGAGCACTATGTGAGAGGGGGGTGAGTTCTTTTCATCTCAAGAGCCCGGCCACTCAGGTAAGTGTTGTGCCACCAGGGTGCCCATGTGTGTGTGCATGGAATTGACTGCCTGTTGGGGTTTTCGGGGTTCTTCTTCCATCCTCCATAGTCTTGATTGTGTGTGAGCACTGTGAGGTGTGCGAACTACCTACTTACCTGACGAGTGAATGAATGAAGTATCTTGCTTGCCATGCTATATCTCTCTACAGTGCTTTGTTTATTTCATTCTCAACGGCTGTAGTCTGTAGGTTCTTTCTGGGGCAAAATTTTGTTTTTCAATTCGGTAGGGACATAGTAGGTCTTTGTGGAACTCTTATTGGTTGGGACCTGGTTCTGACTCCACTGGGACCATTTGGGACTCAGTGGGACCAGGCCCAAACAAGAAGGGCCCCTCAGGCCAAATCTGTTGACGTAAGTTACCTTGCTCTACTATGTAACTGGTTGAACGCCCTGAACGTTCACGTTCAAACGCGCGCGTTCATACCCCCCGGGACCGCGTTCAATCGCGTTCAAACGCGCTGCGCGCCACGTGGCGCGAAAAAATTGAACACGACCCCGGGGGCCGCGCGCGCAAGTTGCGGACTTCGGGGTGGTGAGGCTCGTTCATCGAACCCTGAAAATGCAAAAAACAAAAAAAAACGGGAGACCTACTCCCCCTACCGCGTCACCCCCCGCCATATGTGAAGAATCCTTTTTTTTGGGGGGGGAGGGGGTAGGGGAATCCCCCTAACACGGCTAAGACGGCCCATGCAGGCTATCTGAAGGGTCCCCGCTGCCATGTAGCGCAGACCCCCCCACCGAAATCAAGGCAGGCAGTGAATGTGAAGTAGAGCACGAGCTAGCCGAATATATACTCAAGATTCGAATTCAGGTCTGTGTTTCAGCAGTTATGGGTTGCTCGCGTAGCTAGGCCCTGCACGTGATTCTCAGGGTTTGGCTGCACTACTCACCAAATGTGCAAAACTAGAATGAATCTTTTGGAGAACATGGAATAATACTCCTCCATATGTTCTGTCTTTTGTGCATGTGGTGAGTAGAGGCCCTTAGGGCCACTGCACGTATTCCTAAGAAAAGAAAAACGAGAAAAAAACTTAAAAAAAGAAAAACGGGAAAAAAAGAAAAAAAAAAAAAACTAGAAATCTCTCTCGTTGTTCTTTTCTTAGGAATACGTGCAGTGGCCCTAAGGGCCTCTACTCACCACATGCACAAAAGAGAGAACATATGGCGGCGTATTATTCCATGTTCTGCAGAAGATTCATTCTAGTTTTGCACATTTGGTGAGTAGTGCAGCCAAGCCCTGAGAATCACGTGCAGAGACCAACACGGCCTAGCTACATGTTCTGCAGAAGATTCATTCTAGTTTTGCACATTTGGTGAGTAGTGCAGCCAAGCCCTGAGAATCACGGCAGGGCCTAGCTACGTGAGCAACCTATAACTGCTGAAACACAGACCTGAATTCGAATCTTGAGTATATATTCGGCCAGCTCATGCTCACTTCATATTCACTGTCTGCCTTGATTTTGGTGGGGGGGTCTGTGCCACATGGCTGCGATGACCCTTCAGATAGCCTGCATGGGCCGTCTGAGCCGTGTTAGGGGGATTCCCCCACCCCCCCGAAAAAAAAGGACCCTTCACACACACACACACACACACACACACACACAACGGTGTTTTCGTTAAAAGTGAAATTGTTTTCATGTTCACTTTTTATTTTAATTGTAAAATGACACAAAGAACTGAGGGAAAAATAAACAAACAACGAGAAAACAATGGTTATACATGAAAGTTGTTGAAGGAAATAAAACACAAATTTTCACCTCGAATATTCACACGTACACAAGCTATAAACATGTCACTCAAGGATTGGCAATCCACTCTGTAAACATGTCACTCAGTAAAACACGCCAACCTCATCAATAACTGATGAGAAGTTTAGGAAATGTCATTATACAACATATTTTCAAAATTGCCTACAATACACATTTTCACCCGGAATGTTCACACTAAGTAAACATGTCAACCTCATTTTTCCAAACCTAGAACCTGAAATTCTCATTGACTTTCCTGTCTAACCATGGACAAAATGTCAAATGCTATTATAAGTCTCATATCAGGAATACTATCTTGTGAGAAACCGAAGGGAGGGAAGTGACATTTTGCAAGCAAAGATGCAAAACCTAACATAAAAACACCACAAACAGAAGAATCGTCTTGAGCAGGAATCCCATCTACTGATGTATCAAAGTAGGATGTAGGCTCCTCCACATGATATTTTTCCCAAAGATTTTGTCGATGAAACTCCGCTCTGAAAAAACCTGCCAAAAGTTCGAGGGTTGGACCGTAGTCAACATAATGGAGAGAGTCTACGAGGCGGAATTTACACTCAGAGCGATCTATACTGACATAAGCTAAGGCCCAATGATTTCCGAAATGGAGAGGGATAATTACCAAATCAAAATTGAAAAGATTTATGTCCTTCACCAATCTCGTCCCTTCGGAGTATGCGATTTCAGCGGACCGAGTTTTTGACAATCTGGGAAAGAAAAAAAAATTTAGAATATACACAGATGAAATGCTACGCCACTTCGGCACATGTCGAATCCACCTTCTTGATGTAGTCATTGGTGATCTGAACGGCTAGCAAGTACAAATTGACGACTTCATAATTTAACCATTCCTCATCCTTGGCGGCGACCATGACGTCTTTCTTTTCCACCTTCCACCTCCCCTTGTAATCGACAATGCTGTATTCTTCATTCTCTTCAGTGTTGTCGGTAATCATTTCAAGATACTCCTTTTCTTCTACAGTAAGGCGTACTGTTGCTAAAGGAGTCGGGAACGAAGGGTCATGCACTGCATACAAACACACATATAAACAACAATAGAGCGACTAAGACTTCACACAAAAACAAGTGATAGACTACATAGATATGAGCTCACGTTGTTGGTTGTCTATTTGTTTCATCATCAGTGCTGCTATCCATAACAGATAAACTGCAACCTGCGCGATGCAATTTCTTCC